AACTGCCTGCCCCCCCTACCACTTCCCCACACTAATCCCCCCACCACTTTCCCCGCTGCTGCAGATGACTCCCCAGAACTAGATTCTATACATGGAAGATTACTGCGGGGGGCATCTTAAATTTGGGATCATCTTCGATTTGGGTAAATACAGTAAGTATACCACATACATAGGGTGATATCCCCCGGTATAACATTTAATTACATATATAAAATATGTTAGGTCACTGAAAACATTTCACTTTCACCTAATATGAGAAGGGAAAAGGATAGATGGACATAGGAAGATCAGAAGTTGAAAGGGAACAATTTCATTTAAACTGGATACTAGGTGACATGCACTTTGTTTTATTCTGAATCCCTGTATTCTCCATGGTTGGCATAAAACTATAGCCCTACTGAGTATCCACCATGTAGGGCTAGATAAGGATTCCTCCCTCCCCCCACCTTTTCCACCTGTCGGTTCCCCCCAGGACCAGGACTGTGCAATAATCAATTTTTTGGCTCAACTATTGAACCAAAAGGTCAAGAAACAAATAATCCAGATCAAACCAAAGTAATATTCATCTGTTTGTTTTTAGCACCAAAACCTAAACTTGTCATGTCGTGTTAAATAAAATATTCCATTAGACATGAAACAAAAGTCTTATTTTGGATACAAATAAAAAAGCAAGGTAATCAAGGCTGAATTCGCAAAACAGGAGAAGTGTATTTCTTTTTTCACAATATGCTAGTGGTTAGGTCACATACCCAAGGTGAAGGGCCCAAATTTAATTTAAGTTCTTAAGCTTTCACTGGAATAAGTACTGGAATGATCTCCAGAGGTGTGTCCACACATGCAAGCACATGAGCTTTCAGCAGCTCAAATAGAAGTGCTGCAAATTTGAGCTGGGGCTTTTTGCCTCAGCACATGTGCCCGGACACACGTACGTACTCTCAGGAGCTTCTGGGGCCCAGGCAGTTGGTGCCTGGGGACAGTACCCATTATGCCAGCTGGACTGCTGAAGCAGCCCTGAGGATTCCCTGCACCCTTTACCCACTGCAGCAGTCTGCATGCCTGCCAGACCCAGATGGGGACTGCACAGCCAGTAGAGGCATCTGTCCCTCTGGGCCAGCTGCCAGTGGGATGAGGCTGCAGAGTTGGCTTTTGTGCAGACTACTGCCATGTGTGCCCTCTGCCCAGCAATTTTCCCTCTAGGAGTAGTGGCCCGTGAGCGCGCCGCTTCGGTCCTGCCTCCCCTTTTTGGTGCGGTCCGCTGGTAAGCGTCCAACAGTAAGTGTCCAGGTAGGAGCTGGTAGGGTTCAGCCACCACCCTTCTCTATGCTAACTGCTGCCCTGAGCAGCGTAGTGTAGTGCTGTGGGGCAGTCGAGGCCCGGACACAATCAATTGACAGAACTAAAAGGGAGGTGCCGGGTCCGGCATGGGATGCTTACTGAAGGCTAAGCTCCTCACTCCTCATGCAGGGACGGCAGCAGCTCCACCCCAAGGTGAGGCAAGGCAGGGCTGGGGGCTGGGGCTGGGGGCTGGCACAGGCTCTGTCAGCTCCAGGGAACTGCTCTACTCCCCAGCCCTGACACCATGTGCCTCCTCACTCCCTGAGGTTATGTGGGGATGCAGACAAGTTCCCCAGAGCCAGCGAAGCCCGTGCCAGGCCCCAGCCCCAGCTGCTGTCCCCATCTTGCCTCACCTCAGGGAGGAGCTGCTGCCTGCCCTGCATGAGAAGTGAGGAGCTTACCTTCAGTAAGTGTCCCACGCTGGCCCTGGTACCTCCGTTGCACTCCACGCCCAGCTCCTCTCTGGGAAGCCGCAGCCCAGCTCCTCTCCAGGCAGGTGCATAGCATTAAAAAATAAGTGTGCAGAAAGATTTTTTATTGTGTGCGGCCGCTCATGCATGCAGCTTAGAGGGAACCTTGCTGCCCACCCATCAGGGAAGCTATCACCCAAAAGATGCTCCCAGTGTGATGGTCTGCTTTGAACTGTCAAAGCATGTCCTCCTGGCCCCAACTGGCCAGGAGGTCAGCCACCTCCAGCTGGGTACAAGGTGCCAGCTCTGAGCAGGCTCCTCTGCCTGGATCCTGCCACTTGCCTCCCTAGCAGGAATTCTGGTGTTCCCTATTTGAAAACTGGAAAATCCCTGATAAAAAAATCCCAAGTCACTCTGTAAAATACCCCAAAATCCATGTTCTTCCACAATTAAAAGAAAGGCCACTATATATATAGAGAGAGAGAGAGAGTGAGAGAGACAGAGAGGCAGTGATCAGTTGAGCAATATTTTCTTGATATATCTACAGTGTTAAAGCAATTTGGAAGCCTACTAGTGTCTCTATCATCATAATAAAATGAATTCTAAATACCTATATATGTTTTGCTCTTTGCCTTTGGTTTTCTTACCACAGAGCAGTTAAAGCTTCCACGACCCCTTCACTAACCAAGATGTGGGGACAGCTGCCCCTGCAGCCACAGCTCCTGCCAGCAGGTTTCATCCTGTCTGGCAGCTGGGCATGCAGGGTGTGTGCTGGGGGCATGTGGTGTTTGCAGGAGGGAGGTGGGAAGGGGGTTGGGTGATGTAGGTGGCTGTGGAGGGATGTGTGGAGCCATGGGGTGTCTGGGTAGGTTTGAGTGGATTGGGGAGACTGTGGAGGGGCTGCTCAGGAGAAGTGGGTCCCCTGGTCCCCACAGGTAACAGCACCCCCTGCACAG